GGACAGGCAGGAGCCTTCAGTGACTATCTCCAGCTGACAAGTCCCTGGGCAGAGGACTGACTGGCTCCTATTATCAGAGCCCAGTGGCTCCTGAAGCTGGTGTGGATGTGGGGGCGGGGGGACACAGGCATCATCCACCTGGCCCACCGTCATCTGTTGTTGGAAGGCATCAACTGGCTGCTGCTTGAAATCCCTGGCCTAGGGAGGTGGGCAAAGGGAGGTAGGATGGGGAGGAGGAAAGAACCAACTGCCTTCAGGCTGGATGTTGCTGGCTCTGTGCTGGCCAACTTTGCCTGCAGCTTTTGGGTGCACGCAGAGCTCGGCTAGCAGGTGGCACTCTCAGCAACGCGCAGCTGCAGGTGAGCTCTGCCTCTCAGCAGGCAGGCTCTTCAAGGGTGTGCTGGCAGCAAACACTCAAGATCTCTGGGAGCTCCAGGGCTCCTTTAGAAACACTTTTGGTCTGGAGACCTATGGAGACCAGCGAGGGCGTGAGAGGCCATGTCTTCAATACAACCTGAGACCCTGCTCCCTGCCCTTGCCCTTGCCCTCTGTTAGATCCGCAAATGAGCTCTCAATTATAAATTTCAGGAACACAGAAACTTGGAGAACCCAGGAGTCCCTTATTCCATACCCCTCAGGGCTGCTGCTCCTCCAAAGAAAAATTCTCAGCAAGGATGAGCCAGGACTTCCTCCAAGTACAATGTACCTATCTTCTACAAAGATTTTAATCATTGTTGTCAATGGTTACTCAATATTCCACTCTCTCTATATACATCATCATTTTAAAATTACATGAATTCTTTCTGATTATTAAAGTGCTAACCACATAAGCAAGTATTTTCCCTGCACATTCCCTAACCTCACCCTTTCCCAGAAATAATGAGCTCTATCTAATTGGATGCATGGTACCGTTCCGCAGTCTTGGAATATGGCATTTTAACATAGAAATGTGGGTGGAGTTCCTTTTTTTCTTCTACACATAGGTGATCATTGTGCATATTGTCCTGCAGATTATATCTTTCAGTTAATAACGTGACTTTGAGATTTGTCCCTGTCAGTCCTTCCAAGTCTATGACATTCTCTCTGATGCGGGTGGTTTCAGGGCCTCAGACTTCATCACCCTCGTGTTGACAGAAATTTCAGGTTTTTTCCAGTTTGTTTCAATGTTAGAGTGATAACTGCTCTGCTCCTCACTTCCCAAGCTCTTTGAGAAGGTAATGTCTGCTGTTCTCTCTCTGAGAGAGTACCAAACAACTAGAATCCCTGGGTTGAAGAGTGTGTGCATTCTTAATTGAATAGCACGCTACCAAATGGCCCTCAGAAAGAGCACACTAATTTATCCGCCTACCCACAGGGTGGGGCAGATGCTCCTGGCTGGCCTAACCAGCATCCATCTCATCTCTTTTTCCCTTGGTGCCTTTCACAGCAGGAGCTGAAAAAAAGACAAATAATCACTCTCCCAGCCCCTCCTGCAGCTAAAGTGGCAAAGTGACATCTTTCTGCACATGCAAAAGAAGAGAGACACTTGAAAGCATCTTGGAGTAGAAACATGGTTCTGGGAAAACTTTTGTTGTTCCCAATGTGCGGGAAGGATGCAATGCGGGCCACCCCTCCTCCTTGCTTTCAGGCTTAGTAGTCCACTTGAGACAAGGAGATTACAGCCACAGATCACAAATCAACACACTAAGGATGCCAGAGCAAAAAGACAGAAAGAGCCTGGGTAGCTAGTGGCATCACTGAGCAGCTGGACCGATGCCAGCAGCCACCTACTCAGGATGTCTTATTACAGAAGAGAAATAAATCTTCAATTGTTTAAGCTCCTGCTAGTTGGGTAGAATCAGTTACTAGTAGCTGAATGAACACCTAAATGAGACAGAGTATTGGTGCCAGGTACTCATTTTTGTTTTGATTTAACCTTGTTTTTTCATACACTTTGGTAAAGGTACAATCTTCTGGTTACTCTGTTGAACAATAAAATGATAATAGCAATGATTTATTCACTGTCTACTTTATTTGCATTATCTGATTTTACAAAAATCCTGAAGGGCAGTTTAATTGTCTTTATGTTGAAGATGAAGAAGCCAGAGACTAATAAAGCTAAATTCCTAGCCCAGGTTCACAAAGAATTCCGACCTAGTTCTAGCTGTTCCCATAGGTCCCATTGTTCAACGCAGCGCAGGGTGGCTTACTTAATCCAGTAACAACACCAGTAGTAGCAGTAAGGTGCCTGTGTGTGTGGTGGGAGTCATGCCATTTGCCTGTCAAGGATAATGGGAACCTCCTTTGCTTCGGCCAGTGGGTCAAGGTCTTGCTCCATATCCCAAGGCACAGGGAATCTACCATCCTGTTGTGGGGAGAAGCCAAAAGTGGACTTTCTTTTATACTCTGTGATTCAACTTGAGAGCTCAAGTACAAGTTGAAAGAAAAGGAGACATGTCTCCTCCATGCTGAAGGCAGTCCCATCCTCCTCCAGGAATGTCTTAATCACTCAATAATATTTACTGAGTCCCTGCGCTGTGCCACGCACAGTTGTGCATCGTGCATGGAGAACAATAAACAAGACTGACAAGGTCTTTGCAGTCTTGGAGTTTACATCATCGAGATCCAGCAAACTTTACCGTTCTATAAGAATTTTTCATTAATCACCTGTTCTTCAGTAGTGTATTCTGAATGGTGACCCTGCATGACTACAAGATTCTGATGTGCCCTGTGAGTCACCAAGGACAACATAATGGCTACTGTAGTTGTGGTAATATGCACATTTTGTTGCAATCTAATACTTTTTTTGAAAATAGGTAGTCCATGTAAGACATCTATATTTTCCATAAATATTTAATTAAACCAATGGCCTGTTCTGAGACCACACAGAAAAATGCACACCTTTACTCTACAGGAGATATTCATAGTTTTGTTGGGTTTCACTCATTTATATGTTTTGCTTTTATGCATCCTTTTGTCTCTCACCAGCTACTATGTCCATCAGGGGAGGAGCCTTCCTAAGCCTGGGCACATCCCACTGACAACATATAGCTCAAACCACTGCTGCCCCAAACAAGGGAAAGAGGACAGGTCACATTGAAGGGGGGGAGATCTTGTCTGCTTCCTCATATGTCTAAGTCTTCCCTTGGGGCCCTGCCCTGGGAGGGTTCCTCTAACAGTCAAAGGAAAGGTGTCAGGAGAATGAGGTCCTAATGCATTGGCCCTTCTCCTGTGGTCCTTTCAGCTTCTGTAAAATGACCTGATGGGGTGAAAGCTCTCCAGGTTTCCCCTCAACACTTTTCTTCTCTGCTTCTAGATTTCCTGGGCAGAAACCAGGGGAGAGTTTGGGATTTGTTTCTGTTGACCTGAAAGGAGCCATCTGCCGGGAAGCCAAAAAGAGGCCAGGAGTCCCAGTGCTTCATAGCAGGCACACACAGACCTGTCCTGCCCCATCTGTACCCTCAAAGCAGGAATGAAGACATTCTTGATTTCTTGCCATGGGGAAGGCTTAGAAGTGGAGAAGACATAGGGGAGGCAAGGTAGGATTATACCACAGAGGGAGATCAGGACAGAGAAAGGAAAGCTCACATATGGAAAAGGACACTTGTGGTAGGGAAAGAAATTTTATTTCCAAGCTTTTAAGAGAATAATACAAACAACAGAGAGTTTTAAAAAACCCTAAAAACTGGTTTAAAAAAGTACTTGACAGTGTCCCTTGAATACCCATGGATGATGCAGCCATTGTGCAATGACAACAGGAAACTGCAGGTGACCACCCAGTGGCCTTCTGTGGCAGAGCCCCAGGAACCAGGAGCCAGGCCCGAGGGCCAGTGCTCCCTGCCAGAGTCCCGGGCCCCACCTCAGTGCTGGGGAAGGACCAGGGAGCACTAGCACTGAGGGCTTAGCCAAACAGCAGCAGGGAATATTCAGACTGGCCTTCACCCCACTCCCTGGGACATACCCAGCCAGTCCCTCCTGTCTGCTGCAGCAGCTCTCAGCATGTGCCGAGGCTGGAGGGGGCATGGCACTGAGCGTGTCCTGGCCGTGGGTGGGGATAGGCAGCAGGGAAAGTCGCTCCTGGATTGATAGCTTTAAAGGCTGAAGCCACAGCAGCAGGACTGTGCTCGAGATACCCATGGGAAATCTGTACTTCTCTCTAGCTCTGTGTGCGTGTGTGTGTGTGTGTGTGCGTGTGTGTGTGTGTGTGTGTGTCCTGTAAACACCTTTGAGCCAAATAACCATAAAATAAAGTAACAAGGGCACAAAAAGACATCCATCTCCAAACCTAAGCCCTCTTTGAGCCCACCTGAAATTGGGAGTTCCAGTTTGGAAGGTCTGGAAGAGAGGAAACCCCCCCCACTCCACCTCTGGCCGCGCACACCAACATGTCCCTCCCTACACTGTCCACCCAGAGTCATGAAGTCATCCGTGTTAGAATTCCTGCCCATCAGGTGAGCCCAGGGGCTGCAAAAACTGCACGTGATCCCTGCCAGCCCACACCCGTCCCTCTCCCTCCCCCCGCCCCACTGCCAGTGGATCCTGGCGCAGAGAGAAACCAAAACAAACTCAGGGGGAAAGCAGGGCAGGCTACAAGTGCTTCTCCCTCCTCTGCCCTTTGCATTTTTTTCTCCCTCCACATGTGCACATGAGGGCACCACTCCAAGGCCAGCTCCACCTTCTGCAGCCTCCACTTCTCCCACGTGTTTTGTGCATGGGTACATCTGGCCGATGTTATCGCTGTGTTTCATTAGGTTCCGCCTGTATTGCACTTTGTTCTTGAGTTTGCATTGGTTTTCCTTGCTCTTGTTGGAGAATGGTATTGACTGATTGCAAACCACAAAACCACACCAGCATCACTCACTCCAGCTCCAATCCTGCCCCCAGACCCCTCAAGGCCCCCCACCCTCTGCCTACCCTCTGCTCGGGCCCCTGGGGAGTCACATTGCCTTCCAAAACCTGCTCCCCAGACCAGCACACAGTGGGCCCAGCACTTTCCTGGTCCACCCTTCCCTCCTGTGCAGGGTCACGGCCTCACTTCCAGGTCTCCCTCTCACACTGTTGTGACCCTCATGACGAGCTCTCGGCTGCTGCCCTGGGGGTTCCGCTGCTCATGAGGTCTTAAGTGACTCAAGATGTGCAGGATGGTGTAAGCACAGTGGTGGTCAGACAGAGGGCCTGAGGGCTGGCTGGCTGCCCGGGCAGGGCCTTCCTCAAGGGCAGGGGTGTCCACAGCCTCCTCTTCTGAGGAGAGGGCATTGGCCTGGGTGGATGAGGAGGTCCGGGGGTTTGTCCTGCCTCCTGACTTTTGATCCTCCAGGTCTTTTGTCTTGTCATAGTTCAGCACTTTCCACTGCTGGTTGACAGCCTGCCACCGTTTAAAGATGCGGTACACAGAGGGTCCCTCGTGGATGATGAGACCTGAGGCAGCAGGGAGGTAAACAAAAGCCAAGTAAGAGAAAACAAGTCATAGACTCCCTTTATTTATAAAAGGATGTAGGTGTGGGGGCACGATGGATTTATATAGTTTGTTTTGTGCTTTTCAAATCTACCTTTCAGCTCTGAGTCACGTGGTCCCTACCCCTACATCCCTAGCCTCAGTGTGTCTTCAGTGGGTGCAAGGCTACAACACCAACTCCATGAAATAGCTGAGCACCTGCATGTAATACTTTTGCCTATTTCTACTCTGCCCATCCATGTCTTGGCTTCACAAAAATCCAAATTTGTTGTTTACTAAGGCATAATATAAATACAGGGTAGAGCAAAAGCAGGTTTACAGTTGTTCTTATGGAAAATAATACAATAATTAACAACACAAGAAAAAATCTGTGTTTCAAGTACTCACAACTGTAAACCTACTTTTGCCCCACCCTGTATTTTTTTCCTCCCTCTGCCAGGTATCCATGGCACCCAGTACTTAGCTGATGTTGAATGAATGAATCGTATGCTTTCAAAAGCACCATAAAAGAAACTCCATGGTCGTTCCATGCCTGCTGAATGGTGTCTGAAATTCTCCTTGTTAAGTCCTCATGCAAATAGCCCAGTACTACTGAAATATATACACCTTTGGGAGAGAAAACTTCAGCACAGTTACATTGGTCAATGGGAAGGTAGAGTCAGAAAAAAAGCCACGTCAATCTGGCAAATAAATATTAATTGCATACCTTCTGTGTGCCAAGCCCTAGAGATACTGCAGTGAGCAGGAGAGGCAGAAACCTGCCCTCAGATACCTCACATTCCCTTTAGTAGAGAAACACACATCAGATGTGTAAACAAGACAGTAGGACTATTTCAGGTGCTGAAAAAATGCCGTGAGGAAGATAAAATAGGGTTAAGTAGCCACTGGCTACAGATGTTAACAGTCTTGTTTTAGTGGTGGAAAGGCCTTTGGAGAAGGTGGTATTTGAATTGAGACTTATATGATTAGGAGGGATCCATCATGCAAAGATCTGAAAGGAAAGCATTTGAGTGGCAAGAACTGCAAGTGCAAAGGTGAGGGGGCGGAAATGGATGCCAAGGGTCAGGAAAGAGGCCAGTGTGGCCAGGGTGCAGGGAACGAGTGGGGAAGTGCAGGGCAGTAAGTGCAGAGGCCACTCTATCATAGGGCCTTGTAGGCCGTGCAAGGAATTTTTTTTTTCCTGGAATTTATAGTTTATTTTGAGTATATGGGAAACCATTGGAGTGTTTAATGAGGGGAATAGCATGATCTGATTTAACACCAGTAAGTTCATTCTGGCTCCTGAGAAACAATAAGCTGAGGAGGACAAGAGTAGGAGCAGAAGACCAAGCAGGAAGTGATGTAATGACTCAAGTCAGAAAGGCTGGTGGCCTGGACTCGGACAGCAGTGCAGACAGTGAGAAATCACTGGAAGCAGGATGTATGTCGGGGGGAGAGATGACAGACGTGCTGACAGGTGAGGTGTGAGTCAAGAGAACAATCTGAACAACTTGGAAGCTTTGGGCCTCAGCTGTTAGTAGATGTGAAAGGCACAGTGGTTGGGGATATGGATTAGTGTGCTGGTGGCAGTGGCTATATTAGTTTCCTATGGCTGCTATAACAAATTACCACACATTTAGTGGCTTAAAATAACACAAATATATTCTCTTAAAGTTCTGGAGATCAGAAGCCTAAATTCAGTCTCACTGGGCTTATTTGAAGGTGTCAGCAAGGCTGGCTCTTTCTGGTGGCTTTGAGGGGAGAATCCATTTCCATGCCTTCTTCTAGAAGTCACCTTGCTTCTTCTTTGCATCAGTCCACCTCTTTCAATGTCACTGCACCTGCTACTCTTCTGTCTTCAAGCCTCCCTCTTATAAGAACGCCATGATTATGTTGGGCCCGTAAGAATTGCCCAAGATAATCTCCCAACATCAAGATTCTTAAATCAATCATGTCTGCAGAATCCCTATGGGGGACCACTATTTAGCCACAGTGATAGCCTTATTTTATTCATGGTAAATTTAGGATGTCTGCTAGAAATTTCACTGGAAGGACCAGCTAGGCAGTTGGACACATAAGACTGAAGCTTAGGGAGAGGTGTGGCCTGGAGAGAGAAGTCATCAGTGTAGAGGTAGAATCTGAAACCCTAGGGATGCCTGGATCTCCTGGGCAGAGAAGGGGGACAAGAGAAGAGGGCCAATGACAGAGCCCTGGGGTTTCTGGTGTATAGAGGGTCAGTGGCAATTTGATGGAAGTGGAACCTTCAATGGAAGCTCTGGAGGAGCAATACATGGTGTAGAAGAAAGACCAGCAAATGTGGAGACCCAGATGGGTAGAGACATGTTTCAGGAAAGAGAATGTGAAAACTCTTTGAAATGCTGCTGAGATGTCAGTGGAATGAAAAGTGACCACTGGTTGGTGGGCACCAGGGAGGTAAGCTGATAGAAGTGATGGTGGGAAAATCAGGTAGTTCTCATCCAAGTGTATCTTTTTCTTCCTTGAAGTCATGAGCTAAGGGGAAAGGGATAAGGGAGGAAGTCTTGACAATTTGGGAAGAAAAGAGAAAGTGGGAAATAATTACCTTGGAAAGTGGGAGAGTGAATTTACAAGGGAGATGTGGCAGAATTATCTAGTCGTGTTGGGTGTCCATTTGAAATTTGTGGCCATCAATTTGAAATGAGTCCAGTCGTTGGTTGTGTGATTTTTCTCTCCACCTTAATGCAACTGCTTGCTAGGTGCATTTATGGAGTAAGAAGAGAGTTGGATGTAATTAATGTACCAGGGGTATTCTACCCACTGCCTGTGGGCCACATATGGCTCAGGTGGCTATGAATGCAGCCCAACACAAAATCATAAATTTACTTAAAACCTTTTTTTTTTGCTCATCAGTTTTCATTAGTGTTTGTGTATTTAATGTGTGGCCCAAGACAACTCTTATTCTTCCAGTGTGGCCCAGAGATCCTAAAAGTTCGGACACCCCTGGCGTAGACTGTTTCTCCAGGCAAGTAAGACAGGAGAGAAGATGATGGATGTTTGCAAGGGAATACTTATGACATTGGCCCATGGAGCTTAGGCTGGGAGGAAATAAGGACACAAAATGGGTAAGGAATCATAAAAAGTTAAAAAGGAAATATATATGGTCGATGAAAATAGGTCTCTATAAAGTTGGGGAATTGCCTTTTTCAGCTTCTAGAAGTCCCCTGCGTCCCCTGCCTCTTCTATACATTGGTCAAGGAATCTGTAAATTAAAAAGATGGGGGGGGGGTTGATAATCAGAGAATGGGATGTTTAAATCCAGATATGGGGAGTGATGTAGTTCTTGGCGACGATAAGGTCTAGAGGGTGACCACTTGAGTGGGGCTGAGGTGGGCTGGAGGAAAAGGACTCGGGTGTAATGAGGAGATGGACAGGTTATCTGCGTCCGCCATCCTCAGTGTTATCAGACCAAATGCTCCCTTTTTGTAACCAGTACATTTTAATATCCTCTTTCTTACCCTGAAATGAGATTCATAAGATAATATAAATCACTATGGTTGCTTTGAAAAAAAAATATAATGGCCTAACAGAGAAAGTAAAGAAGAACAAAGGAGAAGTCATTTGTAACAAAACTATATAAATTTCAATATGAATGCTGGGACACTACTACATTTGAGAACAAATGAAAAAACCTCATATATTTCCAAAACTTCCCCCTAGGGGGTTGTACCACTTCTGCTGAGAACCACTGATGTATAGAAATGCTGAAGACTGGTGGGAGGGAGTAGATGAGCCAGGTACATCAAGGAACATGAGTAGGCGGTCAACTGCCAACAGTATCAAGAAGGGGAAAGAAGTGGTAATACATGATGATGTGCACTGCAAAGGGGCTGGGGCCTCTGAAGGATAAAGGAAGAGAGGTGGTTTGGAAGTGGTAATGGAGAGCAAGGACAACATGGACCCACTAGACCTCACAGAACAGTGTATGAGAGAAAAAGCAGCCACCACTTGAGACAGCCATGCAAGAAACACTGCCCCCAGGAAGTTTTATTGCAATTGAGGGAAGATGAAAGTAACACTCAGAGAAGAGGTTGCCCATGATGTACCATGTGGTCCAGAGGGTACAAAAGAAGGGCTGGGAAGACGGGGTTGGTTAAGAGATGAGTAAACTGGAAAGGGATGATTGTCCATATCGGGAGGGTGGTCTTGGAGACTGGGACCTGTGACAGTGAGTGGCATGACTGGGGATGAGGCACAATGGGATTTACAGCAATTGTAAATCTAGAGGCAGCTGGTCTGGCCCCTGGCAGGAAGAGCTGATTCATAGGAGCAAACAGCAGTGAGTCATTCCTTGATGTGAAGCAAAAAGCCTGGATAGGAACACCTCAAAGCCTCTCCAAACTCCAACACACTGTGATTCTGGGACACAAGACAGCTACCCACTGCCACTCTTTTTACCAGGACTCCAAAACTCTTGAAATTGGACTTTGTGCAACAAGTCTTCAAGGGTTCATTGAAAGAGAGACAGTCTCTCTGTAGCTCAGTAGATCCTAATGTGTTTGAGGATCTCATGAAAGTGAAAGGCCACCTTCCTGGGGTGGTAGGGAGAGAAAGCCAGACACATGAATTGTTATGATTTTAGGGAGTTCATAAACCTTCTGCAGGCCACCCATGGACCTGCCTGATTCTGGACAAGGAGACTTCCTCCTTACCCAGTCTCTCACCCTCTCCCAATGTGCCAATTCTCATCACTTCTTTCAACCTTTTAAATATGTGTCTATGCACTCTTGGCATTGTAACATTCACTTGCTCATATATTCCACAAGCCTTGCTTGAACACTGCTAAGCGCTTTCCCTTAGATTATAAACCCCTTGAGGACAAAAGGTATGGTTGAGGCTTTGGCTGCTGACACAGTTTTGGGGGACTAATGAAGTCTTGGTGATGATGGAAGAGATGTGGCCTGGGGAGAGAGAAGCGGGATCTTCTGAAGGCCTAGGCAGACTCTTT